GAACTAACTTCTTGCAGACTTCTGACAGGACTGAGGGGTTTACAAATATCTAATTAGGCTACAGTTGTCTAAAAGTCACAGAACCACAGAAGAAACGTTATTATTACAGCACAAAAGACTTTAAAAAAACTCATTGTATATTCCTCCTCACTCCTGTCTAAAGCCAGACTTGGGGCTGATTAAGCTGCATGACTTTGCCTGAGCTAGAGGTAAAGGCAAGCAGAACAGACCACCCAGTTCTAGCTCCCATCAGACACCAGGTAATCCATGTAGAAAAGATGATTTAGCTAAAGTATACTTTTAAAACATCTCAGTCAAGTTGGCCTATACTTGGGAGTCTGTACAAAAAGGTAGCCAAAGTGGCCAACTTAATACATATCCACTCCTAATATTTGAAACAGAATGCCTGATCCAATAGCATCTCCCTCCATCCCTCGCTTCTTTCTCTACTAGATCCTTATGCCAACAATTGTGGGAAGGGAGCCCACACACATAGCAGAGATGGGTGGAGATGCTAAAGAACCCAGCTGTCTCTTCCAAGGAAGACCCACATTCATCTCTGCAGAATCACTCACTAAAATGCTAAGGGGCTGCTGCTGTTGGCTGCATTCCCATTCAAGATATCAGCTCTACTGCCTTTGCTAAAGCAGCCTTATTAATCTATTCTTTCTCACCATCGTGCCATTAGCCACTGGCTATGCTGGCTAAGGACAGGGGGAACTGGGAACTAGGGGGAAGAAAGCTCCCCAATCAGAATGCAGTAGTCAAACTCTGCTCTTCAACAAAGCCATCTCAGAACAGATGGGCTCTAGAATACCATTTCAGTCATCCTGGGCCAAGAGTTCATTAGAATTAGAATTCATTAGAATTAGAAGAGAGCCAGTTTGGTCTAGTGGTGAAGGTACCAGGCTAGAAGCCAGGAGACCACGAGTTCTAGTCCCACCTTAGGCATGAAAGCCAGCTGGGTGACTTTGGGCCAGTCACTCTCTCTCTCAGCCCAACTCACTTAACAGGGTTGTTGTGGAAAAAATAGGAGGAAGAAGGAGTATTAGGTATGTTTGCTGCCTTGAGTTATTTATAAAAATAATAAAGGCAAGATTTTAAAAAATCTAAAAAGAAAGAATTACAACTCCAAAAGGGAAAGCAGTCTTCTGGGAACTTTCTTCACTTTCAGCCACTGGTAACTGGCTACCCTCCTAGTCATTTATGACTAAGTGTTAAGAACTGAATATACTGAAATATATTTATTCTCCTATTAAACTTGCACCAACTTTCTGATCTTCAAGGATCATTCTTAAGGCTGAAAAGGACACAACAGGCAAAACACACACACCCTCCTTCACCACATAGCATTCCTGCACATATGACTAAAGTTATGTTCAACATCTGATAAATCTTTTACTAATATTTGAATGGGGAAGGAAGGTAGTGCCCACCAAGTGCAATACCTATTTGCATTCCACTCCCTATTTATTTTCTACACCAGAAGCTTTTGCATTTTATGCCCAGAGGTTTCACACTGCCCTCTGTCCTGCCTATGGTTTTACTCACACCATAATTGGAGTACTACAATCATCTAGATCAGAGGTTTTCAAACTTTTTTAGGCCATGAAGCCAGTTAGTTGCAAAAAAAATTCCGGCATCTCTGATCAAGAGGCAAAGCTCTAGTGATAGAACACTGGTAGATTCAAGGGAACATGTTTTTTTGTCCTTAGTCTCTCATAAAACCCCATCAAGTTCTCACAAACCCCCCGAGTTCTGTGAAACAGACCTCAAACTACAGACTAGATGTTACTGAACTACTGTACAACTCCCAAAGTCCTCATCACTGATTATACTAGCTGAAAGTTGCAATTCAGTTTCCTCTGGAAGACCACAAGTTCCACCTCCAATCTGCACTTTGAACGTCTCCATTACCCATTTCCACTTTATTATGGGCATCAGCCTGGTCCATGTAATCATGGAGAATCCAGCTTGACTTGAAGGCATCTTTAACATTTTTTCACCCAAATGACTTATTAATTTTTAACAGAAACACACCATGACTTTATTATTCCTGATACGCCATAACCAACTTCCTCATATCTGACCACCATCTTCCAGGATGTTGCACAAATTTCCCAGCATTTATTAAGCAGAAAAGAAAGCTAACATTTGTTAACTAGGAAGAGGAAAAGCATATACTGAAAAATAAGCATAACACTTTTGGAAGGACAAAACTAAAATGAGGCAACTCTAGTGGGAAGACTTAATACTCCCAGAAGCAGCAAGGAATCTTTGCACCACATTCCCCCTGAAGCTGTTACTGATGCCAGTTGACTTGCCAAGACAGACAGTGCCACTCTGCCAGACCACAGGCCAGTGTAGCCATCTGCCTCTGCCCAAGCAGTAATGCACGGAAGGAA